GACCCCAAACAAACATATTAGTTCAGAATGAGCTTTCAACTTCTATAGATTTCGTAAAATGAAAGAGAAATCAAAATATGTCACTAAATCCCTCAAAATAACAATGGTATTCGGCATCACCATTTCACATGCTAAGAACCCAGAGCTGAAAAACATTCAGTTCAGCATTCCAAGTGTTGAAAGAAGAAGAAGCTCTTAATTTGCTGGTTTTGACATGAAATGCCTTTTTTGGTTTTGAGCAGAGAATAATAGAATAATCTTCTATTAATCTTCTCATCGTTCCCACCACCCATTTCCTTCCACTTATGACTGTATGACTGTAACCTTATTGCTGGTATCCTTACAATTTATATTGATATTGTTTCCTGATTGATTATTTGTACCCTATGACTATCATTAAGTGTTGTACCTTATGATTCTTGATGAACGTATCTTTGCTTTTATGTACACTGAGAGCTTATGCACCAAGACAAATTCCTTGTGTGTCCAAACACACTTGGCCAATAAAAAAAATTCTATTCTATTCTATTCTATTGGCCAAGTGTGATTGGACACACAAGGAATTTTTTTTGGTGCATACGCTCTCAGAGTACATAAAAGAAAAGATACATTCGTCAAGAATCATAAGGTACAACACTTAATGATAGTCATAGGGAAACAGTCAACAGTCAAACAGTCAACCCTAAGGAACATCAACATTGCCCTTGTGCACATTGTTTGCTTCCGAGCTATTTTATTTATTTATTTATTAAATGTATATTGCCACCTATTTGCCCATGGTGACTCAAGGTGGCTTACTGAATATCTAGGTAGTCCTCAAGCTATGACCATTCATTTAATGACTGTTCAAACTTACAATGTCATTTCAAAAAGGGACTTACAATTAGCCCTTTTACTTATGACCATCATAGCATCCCTGTAGTCACATGATTAAAAGTTGGGTTCTTGGCAACTGGCCTATATTTACAGCAGGTCGCAGTGACCCAGAGTCCCGTGATCCTCAGTTGCAACCTTCCTAGGGTTCCAACGAACACAGTATCAAGGCAGAAGCCAGGTTTGCTTAATGACCATTTGATTTGCTTAATAACGATGGTGATTTGCTTAACAACTGAGGCAAAAATATCAATCACGACTTACTTAACAAGTTCATCACTTAGAGATGGAAGCTCCGGTTCCAATTGTGGTCATAAATTGAAGATTATCTGTAGGGCAGAATTGTCTTGCCTCTTACAATCATTGTGAAGTTTTGGGTGCAAGTTGTTCCACCTTTGTGATCCTCATAAGCATATTCACAAAGGAGATAGATGATAGTTGTCTCATTTAGAAACTGGTGAGGGACCAACCTAGATTTTAACAAAATTGCGCCTGTAAGGAACTGCCACAGAGCTATGTTTCTGCCAAATGAAATATCCTCCATTCTGTATTGTTTGTTCTTTGCCATTTGTAGCATTTCAATACTTTGATAAAATCTGAGTCTGAAATAGCTTTCCGTAAAAATGCAGAGACAAATAAGTGGAGAGTCAGAACTTTGAAAGGGTAGCAGAAATTGCTAAAAGAAGAAAAGGGCTGATCTACTGTTGCATCCATCTTATACCCATTACGGTAGTTCTTATATTTATTCCTCCAGAGACAGAGGTGAAAAATAGGGATTTCAACCCAGGAGGAGGAGGATGTTCTGACTGTTAATTACTGTATTTTTCGGAATGTAAGACACCCTGGACTATAAGACGCACCTTCCTTTTTTGATGAGGAAAACAAGAAAAAGAAATCTGCCTCTGCCTCTCAGCAATTTAGCCTCGTTGCAGCAAACAGCAAATAGCTTGCTTTACTTTTATTTTCGTTTTCAGCATAGCTTGATTAGTACAAGAAAAAAAAAATCTGGTCCCAGCAATTTACCTCCTTGCAGCAAGCAGCAGAGGCCCATGCAAAACAGCTACAGCTGAGAGCAAAATAGCTGAGAGTCGGGAGGCCGATCCAAACAACTTGTGCTAATTAGGCTGTGCTGAAGCTGAAACAAGCTGTTTCTTCTTGCTGCTTGCTGCAAGGAGGTAAATTACTGGGAGGCAGAGGCCAAAGGGTGGGGCCAGCGGGTGGGCAGGACTACATTCGGTGTATAAGATGCACCTAAATTTTCACCCCCTTTTAGGGGGAAAAAAGGTATGTCTTGTACTCTGAAAAATACGGTATATGTGTTTTAGAGAGAGCACATAGGCTCCCTCTGCACTGCTCAAGTTACCCGCTCAAACATTTGTGTCCAGTCAGCAGAGTGAACCACTCTGTTAATGTGAGCAAGCTAATTGATTCTGTTTCCTTTGAAAGAAACTTTGCTGCTGAGATGTTATTATTCCCCATTCCACAGGCTCCGCACATCCTAATTCTCGCATGCAAAAGTACCAGTGAGTTGGGTTTTTGTGTCTTTTCAGCTCAGCATCTCCCTATGCTCACCTTGTTCTGATAACGCTATTTCACAAACATTGCTTAATCTGATTATTGATTTTAATCATTTTCTGGGTTTATCCAAAACAACATTATAACAACATTGTACAACTCTGGTCTAACTAAATACAGGTAGCCTTCAACTAGAGGTGGGTTTCAGCAGGTTCTGACCAGTTGGAGAACCGGTAGTAGAAATTCTGAGTAGTTCAGAGAACCAGTAGTAAAAATTCTCACTGGCCCCGCCCCCATCTATTCTCTGCCTCCCAAGTCCCAGCTGATTGGGAAGAAATGGAGATTTTACAGTATCCTTCCCCTGCCAAGCCCACCAAGCCCCACCCACAGAACCGGTAGTAAAAAAATTTGAAACCCACCACTGCCTTCAACTTATAACAAAGTGACTGGTCCAAGTTACATTGGACCCCCTCAAAACCTACTTACAAACCTGTTTTGGAATTCTGAAGTTACCTCCCCTGCCCTATGATCATCTGACTGTATTTTTTTTTTTGTTTGATTTATATGCCGCCCTTCTCCAGAGACTCAGGGCGGCTTACAATGCATTAAGCAATAGCCTTCATCCTTTTGTATATTTTATACAAAGTCAGCTTATTGCCCCACAATCTGGGTCCTCATTTCACCCACCTTTGAAAGGATGGAAGGCTGAGTCAACCTTGAGCCTGGTGAGATTTGAACTTGCAGTAATTGCAGGCAGCTGATGTTAATAACAGTGCTTTAGTCTGCTGCGCCACCAGCACTTGGCAACTGACCCACCCATTGATGGTGGTTTTCAGCACTGACTGTAATACACAATAGTTTTGGTGGAGAATAGCATTTACTTCTGGTTTCTAGCAAAACTGGTCCATAGCAAAACAATGAGTTTGTTTAGTGATTGTAGCAGTTGCTTAACCACCATGGGCAGTTGCTTTTTGACCATGGTGGTTGCATAACGACCATTGCAAAACAAGTTGTAAAAGTTACCCATTCTATGATTCCCATGACTTACGACTGTAACTGCCAGGCTCAATTGCAGTCATAAATCAAGGATTACCTGTAAAGTAGGTACATATACTGTATTATATTAAGGTACAAAATAACTAACCAAGGCTAGTTCTAAACACCCAAGTTGTGCGAATGCAGCCATTAATTCTTTCCTGACATAGTCACAAAAACCTGTTGCTAAGGTGATGATTTAGGACAGTGGTGGGTTTCAAAACTTTTTACTACCGGTTCTGTGGCTGTGGCTTGGTGGGCGTGGCATGGCTTGGTGGGCATGAGGGGAAGGATACTGTAAAATCTCCATTCCCACCCCACTCCAGGGGAAGGTTACTGCAAAATCCCCATTTCCCCCCACTCAGCTGGGATTCGGGAGGCAGAGAATAGATGGGGATGGGGCCAATCAGAATTTTTACTACCAGTTCTCCAAACTACTCAAAATTTCTGCTACCGGTTCTCCAGAACTGGTCACAACTTGCTGAAACCCACCTCTGACTTACGAACAGGAAGACTGAGAGTCAAATCCATCTGCAACCACATAAATTCACTGGGTGCCTTTGAACCGCCTCACAGCCCAGCCCACATCAAGTGGATTGTTGTGAAAAAAAAAAAGCAGAAGGAAGAAGCACTACATGGACTGCTCTGGGCCCCTGAATGAAAGCTTGGAGGGAAATCAAACAGATCAATGGAAGCCAGTCAATAAATACAAAGGCTTCGTGTGCCACGTTGCGTGAATCCTGGCTGAGGATTTCTGGGCACTGCAACATAGCTGGTGGCAACACTGTTTTGCAGTCTTTTGTTAGCATCCATGCTAACTTTTATACATAGGTTGGCTAGTGAGGAGAAGAGGGTGGGAGGATAAGAGAGAAAGAGAGAGAGAGGGAGGGAGGGAGGGAGAGGGGGAGAGGGAGAGAGAGAGAGGGAGAAGGAGAGAGAGAGAGAGAGAGAGAGAGAGAGAGAGAGAGAGAGAGAGAGAGAGAGAGAGAGAGAGAGAGAGAAACTCCAACAGAAAACAAATGCCAGGCCTGGTGAATGTCTGTCCAGTGATGAGTCATTTTTCTATTTTAGAACAGCTATCTTATTATTTATTTCTATCATTTCCAAAACAAAATCACATGGAAAAATTCTGAGAATGGTCCTGGCAAGGCAGGCCTGGCCTCTGAGTTGGAGTTAACCTCTCTGCCAGGGAAAAATCCCAAAGTTGCTTGAGCAACGTCCCCCCCAGTTGCGTAGCTAAATCCTGTCTTCATTCCGTACTGAATCCTGTGTCTCTTTGTACAGTTGAAACCAAGAATGTACGATGATATCTGGGGGCTTAACTCACATGTTAATGAATGTCGATGCTCCATGGTGATTGTTAGAACGTGTCTTATCATCCAATCATCCAATCATAGGGTGGAAGGGACCTTGGAGGTCTCCAACTCCATGCCCAAGGCAGGAATCCTTACACCTCCTGAATAAGTGGTCAAGTGGTTGTTTGGTCTATTTTTGAAAACTTCCAGTGATGGAGCCCCCATAACTCCAGGAGGCGAAGTTCCATTGATTCATTGTTCTTATTAATCATTCTCTTACAGGGGAGAAGTGTCCGCTACTGAAGAAAGAAAGTCTCCGGCTGGACCACAGCAGTGATGAATTCGTAAATATAACTGGTAAGTGGGCAGTCCAGATTCTCCTCCTTCTCTTTCCTCCAGATTCATGAGATTGAGATAGCCCTGCTTGCTTGACCTGCCCCACCCATTGAGGTCTAGCTATTGTGCAGCCCTCTTGAGATGAAAACTTATTAAGCTGTTGTGACCTAGGCTCACTTAGTCATTATAAGACACAATTAGTCCCAAACAAAACTATTTTATTGTAACAGATAGGAATTCATTCCCAGCTTAGTCCAAATTAATTCCAAAACTAGTCCTTCAGAAAAATTCCTTTGGGCTTATCACACACCTTTATCTTCTTTGGCACCCTGCCAATGGCCTTTCTTGGCAAAGCCCCACGAAGTTCAGAAATAAGAGACGCTGACTGGAAACAGATTTAGCAATGTTGCTTTCCTACAAAGAGCCCAAGAGTCTTTGCCGCTCTTTTAAACCTTGTGGGAGAGGCCAATCATCTCCTGGCCTTACTCCTGAGTTGTCCCTTTTGCTTTAGCTGTTCTTGCCTTCTGACAGCTCTGTGCATGTGTGCACTAGGCTCCTCCTGTTCCTCTGCCACTCTGCTGTCCGACTCTGGAGGCTCTGGAGTCCACACATCACTCCCAGATGGCCCTGGTCTCCTCTCTGCTTCCGATGCAGAGCCCTCGTCCGGGCCTTCCCCAGACTCCAGGACTGGCCCATGTTCCTCCCCAGCCTCCTCACTGTCCGACTCTGCTGCCAGCTCCGCAGGCTGCTGGCAGACCACAACACTAAGCATCCAAAGAGCATTTTCTTGGCATTGTCTTCCCCAGGTGCATATGGGGTAGGGTGGGATGTTACAGGAGGTGAGGCAGCTGTGGGATCACTGCCCAGATATCATCAAAGCCTTTCTTTTACCTTGCAGTCTGATCTGTAAGCTTGAAATTCATCCAAGGAACACAACCTTAGTCTGCCATTTCATGACAGCAACCTAGATTGTCATTTTGACACTTTTCCCAGGGCTGAGAAATGGAAGACAAGTAGTAAGAATGTGGGTGCCATGAAATGGGCTTGTTTGGAGAACAGGTCTATTACGGTCCAAATGACCGTGTTTCCCCCCACTATCAGGGAATACTACGATGAAGTCCATAGTGATTTCCTCCCATGGATGGGAGGGATTCGCCACTTGTTAGAGTAGCCCTGGGGGCCTCCCTGGTGTCATTTTTTGGCTGCGCAGGTGGCACAGCTTCTGACATAGTCTTCAATGCCTTTTTTCATCCTTGGCCACCAGATTTCCTTCTTGCCAGGTGTAGGGTCTTTAGATAGCTGAAGTGCCCCGCCTGCATGGAATCATGGCTCCTTTGGAGTACTTGGAGGTGCAGGCTGTTGGGGACGTAAAGTTTGGATCCTTTCCATGCTAGCCCATCTCTGAGGGTTAGGACCCCTGAGTTGTCTTTGTGCCAGAGGTCGTTAGGCAGTTCGTTTTTTAACTTTTGTGTTAGAGCTTCTCTGTCTCCAGCCCTCTGCCATTGTGCTTGCCGTTGGGTGGTGGCTTGAGAAGCTGGCTGGGAGATGGGGAAGCATGGCGTGAACCACTTCCTCCCATTTGCTGTTGTACTGGGGCCTTTGTGATAATGCATCTTCTAGTAGATTCTTTCCCCTAGGGATGTAGTTCACCATGAAGTTGAAATGATCGAAATATTGTGCCCACCACTTTCTTTGGGTGTATTACTTGGAACGCTGACATCAGGGGTGAAAGGTAGACCCTTTGCTTTAAAAACCACTGCCAGCAACCTGACCTGGAGCTCAGAGGGAAGGAGACACCTGCTTTTCCATAAGGGGTATTACCGTATTTTTTGGAGTATAAGACGCACTGGAGTATAAGACGCACCTTAGTTTTTGGGGAGGAAAATAAGAAAAAAAGCTGATTTGTGGGTGGATGGGCCTCCCAGAATACCCCCAATCAGCTGTTCCCAGAGGTGAATTTTAGCAACAGGTTCCTTGGTTGTGAGCTCTGTGCCTTTCTTTTTTCTTTTTTACTTTTTTTTCTGCCTCTGAAACTGTTTCAAAAAAAAAAACCTTTTTTTTCTGCCTCTGAAACAGCTTCAGAAAAAAAGCCTCTGAAGCTCTGTTTGGGGGCTTCTTTTCTGAAGCTTCGTTTCTAAAGCTTTTTTCAGCCTCTGAAACCTCCGTTTGAGAAGTTGGATGGGGCTACATTTGGAGTATAAGACGCACCCAGATTTTCACCCTCTTTTTTGGGGGAAAAAGGTGTGTCTTATACTCTGAAAAATATGGTATGTTAAGGCAGTGTTTGTCAATCCTCACAACTTTAACTTCAACTCCCAGAATTCCCCAGCCAGCAGGCTGAGCTGAGGTCTAACTATTTTAACTATGTTGCTTGGGAATATTCTGGGAGTTAAAGCCCACATGTGTGAAAGTTGCTAAGGTTGAGAAACACTGCCTTAACTTAACACCCTTTATGGAGATGTTGCTACAAAAGACACCCCTGCTAGACACAGGGGCACGTTAGCAAGCCAAAGTTGGTGCTGCAGGAGTTATGGGCAAGTTTAATTTCAGGTGTCTCCTTCCCTCTGTTGCTAAGGCTGAGAAACCCTCTTTTAAGGGATGTTTGTGATATGTTCCAAAAGATACTCCCAGCATCCTTTGCATTGGCACAGACAAAAGAGATGATGTGTTGAAATGGGGACAATAATTGAACATTTCGAATTTATTCCCCAATGTTTTTTTTTTCTGGAATCAGATCAGACAGAAAATGTTTTGATCTTAATGTACCAAAGGATAAAGCTAAATACCTCCCATCCCTACTATAACGATATTATGTACCTGCATTTTTACAATTCCCAATTCTTTTTATCCAGTCTTTGTGCCTTTGCCTAGAAGGGGATTTATGTCTTAGGCCCCCTGTCGTGGGTGCTGTTGATGGGAAGATTTAATCATATCCACTATCAAAAGCATTCATTCAGATGTTTGGACACTGAAGGGGAAACAGCTGATTACGGACTCCTGAAGTGCCCTGTCTATCGTTCCCTGAGGACTGAGCTAATCTCATCACATATTGTTTGGACAGCTTCCAACAGGCAATTGTACACTTCCTACGAGATGATCCGTACTGTAAAATCCCCTGAAAAGTCACCAAATAGTGTGTAATAGCAAGAGTTGCTAGATGAGATGGATCAAAATGTAATTTAAGTTTTGGATACGAATGGGGTATATCTGTGTGTCTGTGAGATGCTTTGTATTTTAACTGTGACTTTGGGACTATGACCTTAAACAAACAGACACTTAAATGATGGGTGGAAATAGACTCTGAAGCCTCAACATTTTGAAGTCCTTATTTTCCTGAAGGAAAAATGCTATGCCTTTTCTTAGTTTATACCGATTAAAGGAGCAGCCAATCTCAACAAGGACTAGAGATGCACCACACTCAAAGATGGACTTTCAGACATTCTGACTGAAACATATTTTTATCTATAAAAGACCCACATCTACCCTTTCTAATGCCCCAGGGCTTATTATCACCCTGTATTTTATATGTTCAGAGATTAGTCTTTATTATTCTGCAGGGTGAATAAGGAAGATATTATGAACCAATAGAGAAAGTTCAAAAGATAGATGGTGAAATTAGACTTCCCAAACTGGTGTTTCCCCTTCCCTGCATTGCATTAAGCTAAAGGTAAAGGTAAAGGTTCCCCTTGCACATATGTGCTAGTCGTTCCTGACTCTAGGGGGCAGTGCTCATCTCCGTTTCAAAGCCGAAGAGCCAGCGCTGTCCGAAGATGTCTCCGTGGTCTTGTGGCCGGCATGACTAAACACCAAAGGCGCACGGAACACTTACCTTCCCACCAAAGGTGGTCCCTATTTTTCTACTTGCATTTTTTTACCTGCTTTCAAACTGCTAGGTTGGCAGAAGCTGGGACAAGTAACAGGAGCTCACCCTGTTACGCGGCACTAGGGATTCGAACCTCTGAACTGCCGACCTTTCTGATCGACAAACTCAGCATTTTAGCCACTGAGCCACCGCATTATAACACCCCAAATTCGCAATAGACTCTCAACTTATCTTCTTCTCTTTTTTCCAGGATTTAATCTAATCAAGAGGTTTGGTCTTCTGAAGACCTCATCGGTTAAGAAAATACGCAATCCCAAAGGTCCGATGATCCTCCGATTAGGCAACAGTTCCTTGGTTCATTCGGCGAAGTGAGTGTTCTCTGCTCTTGACTCTAAAAACTGCTACATGACTGTTGCTTATGGATAACCTGTTTTCTGTGCAAATTTATGCCATGCATCAATATCAATTCTAATTCGTTGTTCCGACTGTCTGCTGGAGGAATTTGTTTTGAGGTGATAATATAGCAGTAAAACCTGTCTGCTGGGCCAGCGGCTGAGAAACTGACTAGATCCTAGCTCAGTGGTGGGATTCAAAAATGTTTACTACCACTTCTGTGGGAGTTGTTTGGTGGGCGTGGCAGGGGAAGCATACTATAAAATATCCATTCCCACCCCACTCCAGGGGAAGGTTACTGCAAAATCCCCATTTCCTCCCGATCAGCTGGGACTTGGGAGGCAGAGAATAGATGGGGGCAGGGCCAGTCAGAGGTGGTATTTACTGGTTCTCTGAACTACTCAAAATTTCTGCTACCGGTTCTCCAGAACTGGTCAGAACCTGCTGAAACCCACCTCTGTCTTAGCTGGTTTAGAAGCCTTCTTTCTCCTCATTTATCAATGGGAAGTGAAGGTCTACGAGGAAGGTGGACAAAAACAGCTGTAACCAACTGCGACGACCAGGATTTTCAGACATGATTGTTAAGGCAGATATAGATAGTCCTCAACTTAGAACCATTCATTTAGCGACCTTTCCAGTTTACAACGATGCTGATCTGGTCTGTGTGCTTGCAACTGGCATAGCATCCCCATGCTCAGGTGATCAGAATTTGTTTATGATGGTTGCAGCATCCCCAGGCCATTTGCGACCTTCCCAGCTGGTTTCTGACAACAAATTTCAATGGAGGAAGCTAGATTTGTTTAATGACTGCATGATTCACTTAACAACTACAGTTGTTTCACTTAACAACCATGGCAAAAAAAGGTTATAAAGTCAGGCATGACACATTTAACAATATTCTTACTTAGCAACGGAAGTTCCAGTTGTGGCCCCAAGTTGAGGATTATTTATTTATTTACTTTATTATTCATATTTCTATGCCACCAACTCTCCGAGGATTCTGGGCGGCTTACACCAAAGACAGTATACTAAATAGCATATTGCCCCCAACAATCTGGGTCCTCATTTTACCCACCTCGGAAGGATGGAAGGCTGAGTCAACCTTGAGCCGGTGAGATTTGATCCACTGATCTGCTGAACTAGCAGTCAGCTGAAGTAGCTGCAGTACTGCACTCTAACCACTGTGCCACCTCGGCTCTTGCCATGTTTCCCTGAAAATAAGACCCTGTCTTATATTTTTTTGAACCCCGAAATAAGTGCTTGGCCTTATTTTTGGGGATGTCTTATTATTTTGGGGTGTGTGGAACAAGATGGGGCTCCTCTTGGCATCTTACCTGATTTCCAGCTCTGTCTCCCTAACCCTAACCAGACCGGCTGCGCATGCATTGAAATATTTTCAGGGAGGGCTTATCTTCAGGAGGAGGCTTATTTTAGCACATGCGCTCAAAAGCCCAATGGGTCTTATTATCAGGGGAGGTCTTATTTTAGGGGAAACAGGGTACTTGTATTTAGGAAACAGTAGTGTGGGAAAGAGAGTACCTGGGAGTACAGTGGGTATCAGTGGCCAATCTTGCTTCTGAAATGCCATCCACAACCCAGGGGGGGAAAGGATCCTCAGAGCTGCTGGATCCTCAGTTCTGGCTGAATGCAGGATCGGCCTGAAATTCATCCTGATTGGTCCAGATAGCACTATTGCTTCTAGACGGAGTTCAAGGTGCTGGTTGATGGCTCAGCATCTGGGTATCTACAGGGCAGGGGTGAAATGCTCCTGGTTCGGACCGGATCACCCGATCCAGTAGCAATGGAGGCGGGTGGTTCAGAGAACCGGGAGCAAAAATCCCTGCTCCCCCCCCCCCCATTGCCCAGCTGAGCAGTGCAATCATCAGAGGTTTTTTTTTATTTTTAAAAGCATTTTTCTACAACCTCTTTGGCCGAAAAAAATGCTTTTAAAAGTAAAAAAAAAAAAAAGCCTCTGATGATCGCACGGCTCAGCTGGGATCATCAGCGGCTTTTAAAAGCATTTTTTCTACAACCTCTTTGGCCAAAGAGGTTATAGAAAAAATGTTTTTAAAAGGAAAAAAAGCCTCTGCTGATCAGGCAAGTCAGCTGGGATCATCAGAGGCTTAAAAAAAAAAAGTCCTCGATTTACAACCGTTCATTTAGTGACCATTCAAAGTTACAATGGCATTGAAAAAAGTGACTTACGACTCTTTTTCACAGTTATGACCTTTGCAGCATCCCCATGATCATGCGATCAAAATTCAGATGCTTGGCAACAGGTTCATATTTATGACCATTCCTGTGTCCCCTTTTGCAACCTCTGTCAATCAAAGTCAATGGGGAAGCTGGATTCACGTAACAACTGGATTACTAATTTATCCATTGCAGTAATTCACTTAACAACTGGGGCAAGAAAGGTCATAAAATGAGGCAAAAGTCACTTCACAAATGCCTCACATAAAAACAGAAATCTGGGGCTCCATTGTGGTCGTAAGTCAAAGACTACCTGTAATAAATTTTACTAAAGCTTTCCTAACTGGAGACTTCTGCCTTTTAATGAAGCTTATTAGTCTGAAAACTTCTACTACAGGGATGTCAAACTTGCGTTGTCATGTTGTCGTCACGTGATGTAATGTGGCTTTCCCCCCTTTGCTAAAATGGGGGTGGGCGTGGCTAACGCGTGACACATGTGGCTCACGGGCCGCGAATTTGACTCCCCTGTTCTACCAGATTCCTAATTTTTGCAATTCCCAATAGTATCTATTCATCTGCAACAGTGGTGGGTTCTAACTGGTGTTATCACTGGTTGGCTTTGCACACATGCTTTGCGCGTGATCAGTGCGCACTTGCTCGCTTCGCTTACACGCACGCCAAACTTGCACTTTGCACAAGCGCATTGAATTTCGAAACAGTTGAGGCATGGCAATCCGCTCTGCCGCACCTTACAGCTGGGCTAAAAACGAAGGAATAAAGGTAGGTATAGCGCAGGGACGGGTGGGAGGGCCCAGCTGATGGCCGGAGCGAGCCGGTTCGCTCTCACGTCAAGATTTTCGCTTCTGGTTCTCCCGAACCGGGGAGAACCGGTAGCAACCCACCACTGATCTGCAAGATTTGAGGGCAGGTGATCCTTTACTCAAGGAATGCCATCTTCAGGAGCCAGAGAAATGAGATAACTGTTACTCCCCTCTTGCAGAAAAGCATCTCTTCTGAGATGCAATGGTCCTTTTTTCCTGTTGCTTTCCAAGAACTCCTTTGAAACTTGGTTATTCTAGCAGGCCATGTTGTCTCCATCTTATTTCCCCTGGCTATGGAATGCTGCTTTATGGGGTTGGTTTCATGGATTAACTGATTAATACTCCTGATTCTACTGACTATAATTATTCATTGTGTTATTGATATGCTTTGTTCTTATTCTGTTGAGTATTTTTTAACTTGACTTTCATATGTTTGGGATGTATGCTACTCTAAATCATTCACAACTGCACTATTGGGCTTTGAAGCCTAGTAAAATAGCAATAAATAACAGAATAGGAAGGGACTTTGGAGGTCTTCTAGTCCAACCCCCTGCTCAAGCAGGATACTGTATATCATTTCAGACAAATGGTTGTCCAATCTCTTCTTAAAAACCTCCAGTGTTGGAGCATTCACAACTTCTGGAGGCAAGCTGTTCCACTGATTAGTTGTTCTAACTATCTCCTTATTTCTAGGTTGGTCCTCTCCTTGATTAGTTTCCATCCGTTGCTCATTGTTCTGCCTTCCGGTGCTTTGGAGACGAGGTTGACCCCAGTTTCTTTGTGGCAGCCTCTTAATAAATAATATGCAGATATGCAGCTCTGCCTCCCATGTGAGCAACAAACCAGAGTTAACTTGGGGGAGCAATAGTTGATAACCGTAATGCACCATTCTCACCAGCTTGTGGACTGTGGTGAACGTTCCATGCTATGATGAGGAGTAAAAAGTGTACTGGATGTTGTGTGACTCTAGCAATTGTGATGGGCTTCAAATGGTAAATTCGGGTAGAATTTGTTAGTTCTCAGGTGAAAGACCAACATAAAAGAGCCCTGGTGGCGCAGCAGACTAAAGTGCTGTTAAGTACCACCAGCTGCCTGCAATTACTGCAAGTTCAAATCTCACCAGGCTCAAGGTTGACTCAGCCTTCCATCCTTTCAAGGTAGGGAAAATGAGGACCCGGATTGTGGGGGCAATAAGCTGACTTTGTATAAAAAAGAACACCGCTTTGGGGGGGGGGGCGAAAGCCCTACTAAGCAGGTATATACAAAAGTATGAAGGCTATTGCTTAACGCATTGTAAACCGCCCTGAGTCTCCGGAGAAGGGTGGCATATAAATCGAACCAATAAATAAATAAATAAATAAATAAATCCCAGGGAAGTTGAAAAATGATCCTAGGAGCTATAGTATTTATGTATTGTTGCCTGGAAAACAGTATGGGCATATCTATTTAGTAACTCATTGGTGTTGAACCAAGCTAGGAGTCATGATTCTTTTATGTTCCTCACCCACACCAAGCTGTGATCACAGCGTCCCTCAAAGAATTTATATTCTAAACCGGTCATCACTAACTTGAGATCTCCCAACTGAGTTGGGTCTCAAATCGATGTATGAAGAATGTGGCTGAGAATTATGGGAGTGAAGCTGTGTTGTTGCTAAGAAAGGCTATGTAGATTTACTCAACACATAAGAAAGTTTATCGTGTCAATCCATGGTTTCTGCTTAGAATATTCAGTTTATTCAGCCAATTGTGGTTCATTCCATAAGCCATAGTTAAAATAAGAATGGTACACTATATAAAATTATGCCAATCAGTGAGTCCAAACAGAATTTGGAAAGTGATATTTGTGATTAGGTTTGAATATCATCCCTGATTGATAGTTGTGTAGTTTGACACAACATTTAAACTTTAAAATAAGTCATGCTAAATTTCCATGCAATGACCAGGTTCACACAGCATTGTGG